TTTGTAATCTTAAATCAGCGCTCATTAAGAGTTTTCCAATATCCAAACGTAAATACATTGCTCAAAGATTTATTTTTTTTTTCCCTACAAGAACTAAATAAAGGTGGATAAAAGCGAGAGGCAGGTGGAGAAAATCAGACCATGAGCTGCCCAACACACTAATGTCTTTCATCCAGTGCTCACCTTCACAGACACATCAGCCACAAACACCAGGAAGCAGAGCAGCTCCAAGCTCTCTGTCAGGCCACAGGGAGGATTCCAAGGGGGAAGGCGGTACCGCACGTCCGATGTGACAGTGAGTGAAGAAGGCTCTTCAATGAAAGCCAAAGCCAGGATTACAGTGATGGTTAAACTCAAAATCCTGTTGGGAGAGAGATAAAATTTAAAAAAAAAAAAAAAAAAAAAAAAAAAAAAAAAAAAAAAAAAACAACAACCAAACAACAAAACAAAAAACAACCCTCCCCAAAAGCCCCACAAAATGCCTAAGAGTAAAGCACTCTCCTTAGAAGTAAACCAAGCTTTACAATACCATATTTAACACAAATGGGTTGGACCAGAAGGCAGCACCCGACTGGCAGGTTGTTGCCTGCATTGGTGAAGTAACTGCTGACCAGCAAATAACCTCAGGTGGTGTTCTTTTGGGCCTGACAGCTGCAAACAATCCCTCTGTTATTTATTTTGTTTAGAAATTGGCACTTTTGGAAACTCTAAACATGCAGTGCTGTAAATCAAGCTCACAGTCCATTCATGCAGCAGTCCTACAGCTGCTCCAGAGAGCCATCTACGTGATCACACTTTCATATAACTGGCTGCTCTGCACTTCTGTCATGTTTCACATCCCCTTGCTTCCTACAGTAAGTTCTCGTAAGGGTAAATGCACAGTCATCTAATTATTTAACAGAAAAAGAAAGACGAAGAGAAATTTTTTTTAGAAGCACTTACTCCTAAACGAAAAAAGCCAAAGGAATAGCCAAGTTCTTACCACTGGCAGGTCCTTGAATAGTACCATCGATAAAGCCACAGGGATTTGGAGTCCACACGGTGATTTATGGATCGATACTGAAGGCAGGAAGCAAAAAGGATAATTCAAATGTTACATTCAGTCTGTCTCAAAGACAAAGATCAAGTTACCAAAGTAAACCAAATTAAGTACACATTATTCATTATTAAATATCAGTCACCCATGACCATAGATGTAGTCTACATGTGTGAAAAGGGGAAAGATTTTAAAGAAATTCTCCTATCTAAAGACCACAGAGCTGCTCAGGTAATCAAAGTGTGGGGCAGCCACCTGAAGAAAGCACTGCCATCATCACAAATAACAGCACCTGTAAGAAATCAGTGATTATTCTATGTACTTGCTAAAATGATCTACCCACTTAATTTACCTTTCTAGCATTCATTCCACTCGTGTACCTTCTTTCGTCTTTCTTTTCCAACAAGCCATAAGATGCAAGCAAATTAATCCTGAATATAAGAGACCTCATCCTGTGTCTTTGAATAACACATGCTTTAAGGTCAAGAAAGTCCCCATCATCCCTCAGAACAGGCCTGCTTTTGCCAAAATCTGCTCAGTTCCTTCTCTGCAATGGTTCCTGGGCTGCTCTTACTTTGCCTCCACTGAGAAGTATCTACTTCTAGAAAGGTGGGCACTGCTTAAATGCATCTGATCCCCAGAAATCTCCCAACCAAAAGTTATCTGAACGCAGCAAGAGAGCTCAAGAACTGCCCTCCAGCATTACCACTGCCTGAAACGACTCACTGGGAGATAACAGATCCAAGAACCTGCAGTAAAGGCCAGTAAAGGAGGGACAAGGAGGGAATGAAGACTTGCAATGGTATCAATTTCAGCTGAAGCAAAAGAGGCTTTTCACTTGAAGTCAGCCTTAAACTCTTCAGCTTTTACAAGCTCTTAAACCGTGCAAGTAGTCAGATTGAGAGGCAAATTACACGGTTTGCTCAATTTCTCTTAGCAGTTGGTTAGTCACTCTGGAGAACAACCACAAACAAACCAAACCAAACAAACAAAGAAACAAGAAAACCACCATGAAAACCACTCCACAAACCAGCATCTCTTTTGAAAACCTTAAAGAGAAGATTATTTCACTGTGTGGAAAAAAAAACGTTTCTCCTAGGCAGAAGTTCACAGATACTCGAGTACCACAGGAATTTGGAACCCTGATTTTGCTTTGTGAATCAAGATGATGTTACACTGAGGCTTCCTGAACACAGAAAACCTTTAAAAGTGGCAGAATGCGTGAGAAACATCCAGCATGGAAAACGTAATAGCTACCAAAGAAGTTACATTTACCTGTATTGCATCTTCAATAAATACTACAGCTTGGTTTATATAAAGGTCATTATCAGCTCCAGCACCTGTGAAGTTAAAGAGAAATAGGAATCACTTACTGTGTTTTGGATAAAACCTACAGCTTCCTTATTAGTTACAGGAAGCTCCACAACCATGGCTTAAGTAGGTAGATTACATTAGTAGTTAAATTGTTACCTTAAGGCGACACAGAGACAAGTCCTAACACGCAACATAGTGGGTATTCAATCACATCATTGTTTGACAAAGTGTACAGACAAGTGAAGCTGGAAAAATCAGGCACTAGTATTCCAGTCATTTTGTTTAATAAAGGTACTGTAGTTTAGATTGATTTTGTTCTCTCCAAACCCAACAGGAATCTCCAGTCAGATGAGAACTAAATTAAATGCTTTTTTAATTTGTCCATAGAGCGATTGTTACCATACCAAACAGATCAGAGTTCAAGACACAGCAGGGGGTGAAAGTACACAAAATGAAAGAAAACATCACGAAATTAGTTACCTATGCCACTTATTTATACTTTTAAAAACCTGTTACTAAGAAGTCCACATGAAGATATTTATATAAAAAATAAAAGGCAGCCACTTGTGTTCACTTGGACCAGGGACCTTTGAGGAACTAACCTGGTAATCAGGCCAATGAGAGAAACAAAGGCAATTACAGTCAAAATGAGGAAGGGAAAAAATAAAAATGAAACGCTGAGAGGGGCTAAAGATACAAAAAATACGTGCTAGCATAACTTTCCCACAGAGGGGAAGCGTCCCAAGTAGCATTTCATATCGTCTCCCCCGAGGAGACAGCAATCACAACACGGGATCCAACAGGACAGAGCCCATCCCACTGCTACCACGATGCTCTCCAGACACCAAGCAATGCCACTGATCTAAGAGTCCCAGACAATTTTATGTTTCACATGATTCAACGGCATCGATTTTCTACAAAGACTGCAAGCAATTTTGAAATGTCACCCTTTATCTGAGCATCAGTAACAGCGCAGTTTTGCACTGATCCTGATATGAACCGCGGCGCAAGAAAGACTGAGCATAAACAGGAGACAAGCCGGGCTCACGCAGCTAAGACTATCTTTTGCATGCCATCTCACACTAGAGATAAAGTTGTTTAAAGGAACAGTATTAGTCAAAAGGATGGCAAGGACAGCAAAAGGTTTAAGTTCTTGGAGCACACAGCAAGCCTAGCGTTGACGGCAGCGATTTTGGAAGGGTGGAATCTAAGCAACCGTTCATAGCATAAAAATAAACCAGGGAAATTAGCAAAAAAAAAAAAAAATGTTTACTTTAGCAGTTTCTCCATGCATTCTGCCATGGATATCCAACTTATTCTGCAACTCTTAGTCACTGCAAGTGACACTTAGTCACAAGTGATGATTAAAGCCCCGCTCGGTTCGGGCATACAGGACCCCGCTGCACTTCTGGCACCGCGCAAACACGAAAAAAACACAAAAACAACAACAACAACAAAGCGCGAAGTTTCGCTCAGGTGATGCGATATCCCAAAAACAAGGAACCTGCGGTCTCCAAATGATATCCCGGGGAGAGAGGAAGGACACGGGGCGGG